TTCCTACTCCCAAGTAACTGTTTCTTTGAAAACTCTGAAGCCTGGCTTACAAAGTCAAGTTGAAGTTGATTGGAGAATGTACTAAAGTTTGATCATGGACCTCACACATGGAATTGTATGAGTTCCGACAACCCCCTGAGCAATGGGAACATAGAAGATGGTCAGCAGTCCCTGCAACAGTTGATTTGGCTTTTAAAAGCTAAATACTGTACACAAGAAGCAGGCAGGAAGTAGCCACATCGGAGCAACATGGCAGCTTTATGGAGGAGTAACACAGCAGACTGAGCATATCTGTAGACTTGGCTCTTCTGAGCAAAGCACTTGCAGTGTTTGATTTACTTGAAAGAAATTAACATCCCTCTATAGTAATTGCAGTTGTTTGTTCCATACTGTGACTTTGCTCCCTTAAATATTTTGGTTGGTTTGCGTGTGATGGTTGTTGTTTTAAACAAAATCTTGCACTTGGGAGATATATGCTGTAATAATGCAGCCAGTTTATGTCCAGCAAAACCAGGAAGGGAAGAACTTATTCCAGCTGAAGGGATAGATATGTAGAAAAAGACCTATAGGTAGGTCTATTTTTGTCGTAACAAAGAATTAAGACATTAATCTCTATTTCAGAGATGTCCTTGGATGTGCTCTTGCCATAGAAAAAAATAAAGTGCAAGGGAGAATGTGGCCCACAGACCAATCTTATCCATAGAGGGTCCAGATCCAGCCCCAGAAGAATCCCTGCTGTTTCTGATCAGTGATTGGAGGTAGCAGAAGATTCCTTTTCTCAGGTGGTGCTTCTAAGAGTGTCATTGCCTTATCAGCCCGAAGAGGCTATGGACAGAAAATAATCTACACTCTCCCCAGAACTCGAGAATAGAAAGAGGGGAAACAAAACACACTGCTCCTTTATTAGAAATGTGACGTGTAAACTGACCCTTAAAATAACTACTCAGGCCATGAAATCTTGCTAGAGCAGCTCGTAGCAGGACAATGTCAGCAATGTAGAAGTACACTTTTTCCTATGCATTTACTTTTTTTTCCTTCTCAGTTTTACTGCTGGTTGCTACTTTTGAAATTAAGGGCAGAATCATCCTAGTTTAGAATGTGCTTTTTAGAAAAAGAAAAATGACATGGGATTGATGAAGCAACAGCATCTAACCTGTATTCTTTCTCTCTTTCCAGCTCCAAGTACGAACCAACTTGGAATCACCGGGGGCGCAGAAGTTCTATTGTCCTGCTGGTACCTTGTCTTGACACTGTCCTCTTACACCAGCATACTGTACCTGAAGAACATCATTCTACAATAAATGTAAAGAACCATGGAATGCTTATAAGGATTCTTTGAAAGTGCTGATGACTGGATCCAATCTGGTAGAGTTTGTTAAAAAGCGGCGTGGGATATAATCAGCAGTGCTTATATGGGGATGATCGCCTTCTGTAGAATTGCTCATTATGTAAATACTTTAATTCTACTCTCTTTTTTTATTAGCTGCATTACCTTGTGAAGAAGTACACATTGTCTTTTTTCTTTTTCTTTTCCAAGACGTGAAAACTCTGAAAATACTTTTAGAGGATATTAATTGTGAGTTCATGTTTGTAATCTATAACTTTTCAAAAGCATTCAGTCATGGTCTGTTGATTTGCAGACTGTAGTTTACATAAAAAGAACCCAAGATTGCAGTTTAAAAAAAACATGATCTTTAAGGCTGCAATACAAGCATTCATTTCCCTCTTTAAATAAGATTCTATCTACATTGACACAGAATCTTTTTTTTTACAAAAATGCTAAATAATATGCCTTCAAATCATTTCTTCAGAAATAGAACACATATCTAGATTTTCTTCTAGCATGATACTCAGATTTCAAGAATGAGCTTTGTACTATGACTGCACTGTGCAGTTATGCTTTGGTTTTGATTTCCTTGTCAGTTCAGCATGGGTGTGCCTTCATAAGATACTGCTTTTCTCTTCCTCTCTAACATATGGGAGATAGATATGTATATATATATTTTGGTAGATGCTACGCTGAAGAGTACCAGATCTCTTCTTAAGGATAAAGGTGCTATTGGCTGTAAAATAAATACCACCAGTGGGTAAAGGAACTACTCCAAACACTCAGCACAGCAGACAAAGTGAATGGAAGGTACTTGCAGCACATGTTCCAAATGTACAAAAACAGGAGATAACTCTCAGAGACTTCTTTGTGAATGTAACATCTTTGCTTTGATCATTCAAAGTTCAGAACTTCTAAAAGGTTATGGAGGAAATGACCATTCCTTAACCACCCCTTTGTTTTTGTGTACTTTTTATAATTAGTGACCAATTTTACATATCAGTATCGTTCTTCTTGTTGAATTTCTACTGTGCCAATTTAGCTCACTTAGAGAAAATAATGCTTATGTACAAAAATTTTAACAAGGGTCAAAATGTCCATCACATACAGGTTCCTAAAACATGCCCTTATGAATAACAGCAATCATTCAACCATTTCTGCTTGGTTAATATACCCTACAATTTCGACATCTTCTCCCCAAATCAATCCACATAAACAATAGCCCATTGTTTTGTCTTATACCCAAAATATGGTTCAAATAATTTCTCAAATGCCTGCTGTGGCTCTTTGTCTCGTGTAAGCCATATTCCTACCTGTTGTGGGGATGATTTCTGTAACTGTTGTGCTCCATCATTATTATGCCACACAGTATTAAGGGGAGGAATGTGGAGAAATTCAAATGAACTCACCCTTCACTTTAGAGAAAGAATGTTTAAAATATCCTGTAAACACACACATTGAGCAGTAAGACAGCTGTTTCCTCCTCACTGAGATCACGTGTTAAGAAAAATATATTCTCTCACAGTGTTGTCCTTCCAGGTTCATAAATCTTTCACAGTTAGGTGCCTGAGATATCAGATATGCAAACAAAGGCATGCTAAAATCAGGCTACTTTGCCAAATGTATCTTGAGGCAAGCATGTGTCTTTTCTTCTTAAAGGCACTCTTCTTCTAATGACATGTTAACTGTACTGTCTATCTTAGTCCCCACACGCAATTATGAGATGTTGCATGACACATATGTTTGCTGACACTAAAACATTCTATGCTTCTTTTAATACGTCATGGTTTTCTAAACTTGTATGCCATTACAAATTCCCCTTCAGGCCAAATTATTGCTGAAAAGAACTTAAAAGTTACTGAAGCTAATCTAGTAAGCAACATGTATTCCCATGGTTGTAAAAGTACTGTGAATACCCTGCCTAGGCTATTTCTGTTATTCCTGAAGCCCCCAAAAGAAAACATAATCCACACTGAGTTTTTAAAAACTTCCCTCCAAAAATGGGAGAATAATACCTCAATTTTTTTTCTAAAACAAGGTGTGCCCCACAAAAGTTTGTTTCAGACAAAAGGAAAAAAGAAAACATTTTTAAAAACTACAATAGTGATTCTGGTCACTTCCTGTTTGATTTAGGAAGAAATGTGCCCTCCAGAATATGTTCAACCCTTCTGTAAAAGCGCCATTATAAGAAAGAGGGCGGGGGGGGGAACCTAAAGGAATGGAAGAAAAATATTTCAGGCTGGTAGTACAGCAGCCAGTAGACACATACACCGGTAGATTAACAAAGGAAAAAATGGCACCTGAAAAAATGGAGGACATCTTCATCCAAATGGTAATCTTATATGAAATAAGAAAAGCACCGGCAAAAGCTTTTCTTTGGATTTAGCGTGTTTTTTCCACAAGAACAAACACTGAGAAATTGTTCCTTGCTGCTTGACTGCGGATGTATATGTTTTCCCTGGTTCAGCATGAGAGATAACAGCTTGTCTGTTTAATTGAAGTTGCAAAGAACTGCGCAGCAAAGTGCAACAGAGTAACTAGTGAGGATATAAGGTGAGCTCTTGTATCTCAAAATGGGTTTGCATAGGCATCAAGTTCTCAAGAACAAATTTAACTGTGACTTCAAAATAAGGACACGTAGCCTATTAAGTAATTATGTCACCCTTTCTTAATTCTATAAAAGATAGAGGAGACAGGGTTTAAGATGTGCCAAGTGCAAGTCTTTGAGCATTCTAATCTCACTATCACAAAATGTTGTCTTTTGCACATAACGTCCACCGAGCTTGTTTTCAAAGCTCTTGTTGCAAGTGAGGGCATCAACCCAATCAGCACACAAGCACCCTTTATATAACATCTACATTATGCATTTCTCTATCTCCTTGGTTCTCATCTTCACAAACAACATACCAATACATTAGGAAAGGAAACCAGTCTAACTAGAAGATGGCTGCTAGCAAGATGAAGTGCACTATGATAGGACAATATATTGTCATTATATAGCGTGTATTCAGGCATAAAATATTTTCTTTACATATCACCTGCTATGGATCTATTGATGTCGTGCATTTGCTGTTTTTCAAAAATAGGAAAGCTTGACTAGTTCTGGTGTAACAACCTAATATTTGGTGGGACCAGACATTCCAACTTGCTGGTGTAGCAGGGAGCACAAGTAATTTGGCAATACAGTAGGTGTTTTTTGCCCTGCAGGCTTTGAGTAGGGGACTTTATTTATCTGCCCCCTATTGAATGTTAACAAAGGTACACAAATAACAGGAAACACGGATGACTTGTACATGCTGTTCTTCCCGAAAGTTTGAATGTCTAAAGCCCCTCTCCATTCTCCCTTGTATTGCAGCTTTAAAGTTCTAGGATGCATTGGACAGTTTGACAGTGTGGTGCTGCAGAAAGTATAATCTCTGCCTGTCCTCTCTTAAAGAGAAAGGAAGTTGATGTGTCAAAACCAAAAGAGGATCCAGCATCACTTCTCCCATATACCAAGAGTTCTTAATTCCTTTACTCATCCTAATCGTATACTCAAGTTAATTGCCTTTAGGATCTTCCCCCAGCACGTGGAGTCTGATGATTCCTGCAGCAAAACAGGGTGATATTTTATTTTTACTATGATTATGGAACGTGAAAATATCTGACAAAAAAAGAGTAGTGCTCTTCTTTGGTGTGGAAATTCTGCGACAATAGGGGCTGGAACCCATTTGCCCAACATTCCTCCTGGCCTCTGAATTTCCACTTGCAATGGATGGGTGTGATTTTTTTTTCCTCAATGCATAAGCCCATGTTTATAGAAGAAAACTTTGTGCGAACCTCTCCCTGTTTGTTCAAGAGGATGATCCTATGTACAAAGCAGAGGTGTAATCCTGTTAAGTGTTTACAGTGATACAAGGACTGTCTCGCAGTAAATACTTTACGGATTAGGCCTAGAGAGGCTCTCCTTGAAAACATGGTCAGATGGGGGTATAATCCTGTCAAGATAGAAACATGTATACAGGTTTGCACAGAGTAGTCCTGACCATTGTTGTTGTTGAAAATAGCACATGTGTGTCTGTTTTGTAGGATTGCTCCTTAATGAAAATTCCATATTTCTCTGGTAATCCTTTTCTATACGATCATTGTACAATATGGGATTTATTGGGACTTGATGTGGATTGTGTTGGTTGTCGAAAATACAATAACATTTTACAGATTTTATTAGTCCTTAAACTGTGGGGTATGTTCGCTTTCTTCTGTTTCTTACATGATAATCTGTGCTCACCTGATTGATAGCATTGCTGTTCATACTTTTAATCAGCCACAATTACATTCCTCCCAGTCATGGCAATATATGAAAATAAATGGATTAGCTCCAAGTGATACAATGAAGGACTTAATTATGCATAAATTGTTCCACGTGTTGAATAGTTAAGGTTGTGACAATCTGTTTGATAAACCAGGACACTGAACTAAAATTGTGTTGTTGCCAGATTAACATATAGAAGGTTGCAATTACTGTGTTGTAGGTAGTGATGCTGGTTGAATCTAGGGATATCTCAATATATCTAATATGAATGGTGTTGTTGTCTTTAACAAGATTAACTGGGAAAATAACTATTCAGAATTCAATTGAAGTAGATAGCTTTCTGTGCTCTTCACTGTTGTTTATCATTGCATTGTTTCAGATACAGAAATGTTGAAATGACCACTTCTAAAGCTTTCTTCTTCTTTTGCACATTTTTAAATCAGTGCTCTACATTATGCTGACCAAAATACCCATCTACCCCACACAACTGTGTGCACTTAAGAATGTGTATACCAAAATATGTATTTACATGGATAAATAATATGCCTTAAAGCCTCAGTATGCACTTACTTTCAGGGACTGGGCCATCCTCTTCCAGTCTGAGGAAAATAGTCCATATTACATAACTTGCATTGGAAGAGTTTGTTTTTGAAAACAAAAAATCATTTTTACCCCCTAAAAGGGCATTCAGTGCATTTAAATATTCTTTCACCATTTAGACTGTGCCAGAAATTTAAAGCCATGAGGGAACTCCAGCCTGAGATTCCAGGTGGGCAGACGTATGTTTTGTAAGGAAATGATTAATGATGCAATCCAGAGCCATTTTAAGTGGCTGGCATTTTGCCATTGGCTTGATTAAGCACGGTGATGGATTGCTTCTGGAAGTTATGATAATCCTAGATGAAACTTTCACACTGTTAAACTTTGCTAGTAGATAATCAAATGGCGTAAACTTAGCCAGCCCAAAACATGACCTATCAAGTTGAATGTAATCCACTAACCATGCATGTTGGCTCACCGAGGGCTGCCAAAACACAAAGCAAAACATTCTTCTGGTTTTGATGTCCGTTCAGGGCTACAGAAGCATTGTGTTTGTTGAACTACTCATCCACCAACACTTGTAGGCCCCAGACTCGTTTTGCCTTGTTTTTCAGCCCTGGTGCATAAGTTCTACTTAAGGGAGTACTGTGAATATGGACATACCATGAATTTATTTTAGTTCCACTTGTAAGGAGTTTATTGGTGATTACTCTGTGCACATTTTGGGCACAACTAGATCTTCTTCCTCTTTAAACCTGACTTCTTGAGTCGGCCCATCTTTCTCTAAGGTAGCACTGCACTCTCTTTCTCACTGTCTGGTACAAAGGACCTCTGCTTCAAAGCCAAGGAGTTCCTCTTTGCAATCTGGGTGAGGAAACTGTAGCAGGAGAAATGGGCCACTAATAGAATTAGCATCAGAAGCAGAAACCAATGAAACAGATATGAGGGAGGGAGGATAAGATAATGGGCTGAGCTAGAAGCATGCCTTTCAAATTATATATGCCCTCTTTCTAAAACATCTGCCTGAGTGGATTAACATTCTTTAAGTGGCACATGATTTTTAAAACCTTGTAATGATGATGTTTGGGGTGTGCAAAGCAGACAGATAGTTTTCTTCTCTTCTATCTTATATGCACGTTTCTCCCTACTTTAGAGCATCGTGTATCCTGACTGTGCGTGTCACAGGCCTCCTCTCATGCTAACTAGCTTGCATGCAAATTGACTAGCTAGCCGGTGACAAAACACTGTTGCTGATTTGTAGTAACTCATAAGCGTGTGTCTGCTTTGAAGCAAGTCCCACTGAACTTACTGCTATGTAAGTGTACCTAGGACAGCAGCCTAAACTGAAGTATGAAAATTATTACCTTTAGAAACAAGGGCAATAAAGGAACTGACCCAATTCCTCCCAGCTTCTCTCTCATTTTTAAAGGTTGTTCTACTTTCTGAAAAGATGTGTGTTAGGACAAGCCTCCAAAATTTCCGCACTCTGTAATTCCTAAGACTTCTTTCATTGACCGCCAAGGATGGCACAGAAATGGAGTTCCACTTTTGTAATGGACTCTTCCATTTTATCTCCAGGTGTTGTGACACAGGGTTTTGGGTGGCCGTCATGGTTCTGCTAAGGTTCACTCAGCTCATAACAGAAACCCAAGGATGATCTTGACTTATGCTTCTCAAACAAACATTCCTGCACATACAGCAGAACAACAGATTTGTATACCTTGAGGCTCTGGAAAAACTGTGTGAAATCATATTGCGTATAGCATGAAGTTACACTTGCAGAGTTACATCTAGGGAGTCCACATGTCTTTCTTGAGTGGCTGACTGTGCAATTGACCACACAATGGTGTCTATGGAACTGCTTCCTGGGGCAAATTTTGCAACGGCTCATGCAACTTCATGTTATGCAGGCATAGCTACACACCTGGAGGTTGACCGCTATTTCTCATAAAGCATGGAGTTCTGTGTTAACAAAAATAGCAGTCATTAAAAAAACCCTCCCCCTGTGTCAGCTTAAGACCTTAGTCTAGCCTAGAGTTGCTCCTAGAAGCCCTTTTTGGCAGGTGGGGGGGTATCCCATGTTAGCCTCTTGCAGCAAAAGTAACAAAGCCTTATGGCACGGCACGTCAAACAAACCCTGGTTAGCCTTGAAATGCACCCTTCAAGGTACTTTTCAGGAGTAGTGTGCTGAGAAAATCCAGTAGCTCAAAGCTGGAAAAATTACTTTTTTAAAAAAAAGTTATCTTTACTCCTTACTTGTTCTGCGGTTTCAAAAAATGATTTATTGTTTTTACACAGGACAATGTTTGAGAAATTAACTTGTTGCAATAGAATGGGTGGAAATGTCCCAAAACTTGAAACTTGAAATATTCCTGTTAAAATGCCCTTCTAAAGTAACATGAAAACGTAACTAGCAATTTTTAATCATTGCACCCATAATATCATTGTCACTTATTGCATTGTTTTTGAAATATGACTTACACTCCTGTTACCAGAGAAAAGGTTGTGGGTAACCTGTTGCAAGTAATTGCATTACTTGTACCATGTTACATCTGTATCTGTAGTAACGATGCATGAAAAACTGGGCTGTCATTGCTCCTCAGCACAATGGTCTTGAAAGTACTGAGTGTAAATACTTGTTTTTGGAAATTAGAAATACTTTGAAGTACCTTGAAGATCCCAGTAGGATCACGGGTGATGTTTGCAATTGGATTTTTAGAAGCCTTGAATTTCTGTTACTTTATTCCCTACAGTAAACTGGCAAGGGTAGAAGTCCATATACAATTATGTTTACAGTGAAGAAGAATGCTCCATTTTCAGTTTGATTAGTGTTAAGTATATTCATTATTACACATGACTAAAAGCATTCAATGCATTTTAATTGAGTTTCTTCCTGTTAACAATTTAATCCCTCTCCTCCTTCTCTTCTTTACTAAACACTGGAGAAAAAGCAGGCGATTTATCCTGCCTCCTAGATAGACCTAAAAATAGTCACATTGAGACAATGAAAACAAGTACAGCATTATTTTATTTTATTTTTTTAAAAAAAGGAAGTTCTGAATGAGAACTATTC